TAAGAGGACGATGCTCGTATCAACCGCCTCCATTACGGTTCAATACAAGCATGTTTAGCTGCTGAAGGAATCGGGGAATTCATCGCACGGATTTCATTACCTGCTACTCATTTAAATTGAGATTAATTAAATCATATGATTTAACTAGCAATGCTAAATTCCAGAAAAATGCCGATTGAGCACATTCTTCTTTAGGTGCCCGCACTTATGATCTATCTAGGAAGGGGCTAGACCAACGTTAATTAGAGGCGGAGTCACCCCCTCCTTCTCAACCATTCGTCCGTACTTCGTAAGACGCCCGTTTAGCTAATGAATAGACTAATTCTAAACCTGGACTATTGTCCATCGTTAAAGAAAGCGCGATACTCTGAAATGTTCTTTAAACCACCTAACGTTCGGGCATTGGGTGAAACTGGTTGTCCATTTAGTACAGAGATGTTTATGACAATATTACCTCAAATAGGGATGACTCGTATTCTCTGCACAAAGTGTGTTTTCAGTTGCACCGCAACGCTTGCCAGCATTGGAGCGGCATGCGTTCCAAGCGCAGGGTTGGTTACGATGCTGATCGTCTTAACGGCTGCCAACCTACCCACTGCAGACGTTGCGTTGATCGTACCGGTGGACTGGCTGTTGTAAGTGACGATTACATATTTAATTTTACTCGATTTATCGATTGATTTACAGGGACCGTTGTCGGACAAGCGTGAATGTCGTGGGCGACTGTTTTGGAGCAGGCATCGTAAATTATTTGTGTCGAAAGGAACTACGGAAAGGAAGCGTGTTTGCTCGGGTTGCAGTCGAAACCGAGAAAGAGAGTAAGATTCAATGATCTGAAAAGATAAAGGGTGCTTCAAAACACAATTAAGAATTAGATAATGCTGAAGAGTTCTATAAAGTGTATTATCCCAACCCCTAGTGGAAGTGACCCAACTCACTACAACGAGGTCTCCAATGCCAAAAGTTTCCACAACACCCAGTGGCCGCAGAATTATTACACGTCAGGGCCAAACTCGTACATTAGTGACTTCCCTGGGGCCGCTGAGGTATCAATTATAACCTCCCACCTTAAGAAGCAATATGCTGATCCGTAACCACAGGCCATGGCAGAAAGTTAGGCAAGTCTGCTTATGATAAAAATTTTCTAATGATATACCTAGATAGAAGGTTTTTTGACTTCGATAGTCCACTGTCCGCATTCACCGCCTGAAAGCATAATTGGCTGCATTTTGCATCGGTGTGCATAATCCCATGTGTTTATGCATTTAGAAACGTTGACGGCTGGTGCTGATACGCTTCAGTCTCGAAAGTGCAGAAAAGTACAGCAGCATTCAGTCGGTTATCTCATGCAGAAACCGAGGTTGCTTAATTAATGGATGACTGAACTCAGAACCGAGAGGACCCAGATTCGAGTTCCTGCCGGGTCGCTCGTCTTTCTTCTTTCCCAAGTTTAAAAATGAATATCACCCTGTGAGAATGAATCGCTAATCCTGCCATATAGCTTCTGACGATTTTTTTTATCTTTGACGTAAGGTAGTGCTTGCTGATGGATTGGAAGGGGAGATCAGCGCCTAAGTTAGAAAGTTTAGGGAAGACTGCTAATCCAACAGTTGCAAACTTTCATTCCTGTTCTCATTCCTTCTGCAGCAACAGTATATAGCCATCATTCGTAAATGCATTATCGTAAGGAGATGTCAGCCGCTCTGTGGTACTGGTAAGACCTTTGTGGTAAAGAGGAAGAATGACTTAGACCTTAAAATCAAGACAGCCATGTCATCAGCTACTCTACTGATCATCAGGTTGTAGAATTAATCCGGATGCATAAATTTTACAGTTGCAAACTGGTAACTGTTTTCATCAATTTTTTTAGGAATTGCTTTGTTCATTTGTTGCTAGAGAGGGGAAGCTTTTTTCAGACCTTCTGGGTATTTCTGCAGAAGATGGCCAGGAGTTGAACGAACTTCACCAAAAGTCCAAAAAACCTTGCGATCTGAAGTGGTTCAACAAGCTGAAAAAGAAGGAAGGCGATCAAGCAGCTGCGAACGAAATTGAAGAGTCATCCGATGCCATGGTGAAGCACATGTGATGCACTGAGAGACAATTTGTACCAAAAAATTATACATCTTTTTGCGCTGCAGCTCCCTAAGCCTGGTAGACGGTTCGAGCTGAAGTGATGTCTATACCATTCGTGTTATATTTCATGGAGTGTGACTGAAATAGACAAAATGAAATAAAGTTATTCTCCAAATCGAATCTTCGAAATAATGAAATTATAGAAACACATAAATGTTCATGCAAATCAACACGGGTGATTGTTTGCAAAGGTAATCGCTTCTATTGTCAGCGTTTTGCGCAGACTGACCAGTTACTCAAAAAACTGCCTATCAACAATAGAGTCAGGCGCTCCGCTCAACGCGGGCATATCGTCAGCATTACGGCAGGCGCTTGCTTATTCACAAACGAAACACAATCATGCTTACTCATAGTACAGGCTTGAAAGCAAAGAAAAGCTGTAGTTACGAAGTAAGGCAAGTCGTAGTAAGCCACAGTAAGCTAGTGTTGGTGTATGGTAAATGCCTGTAAAAATGACAATCATGCAGAATCTTCAGGCTTTAACTTTACCACATGAGCTATGCACGTAATTGTTGTGTTGACACTTTGAAATAGTTAAATAAACCGTGTTTTTAGACAACTGTTGTTGATTTTGAAACATACACTGCTTTTTGGAAGCGAGGGTGAGGCAGATCAGTTAAGTAGCGAATGTCAAGTTTTGAGACACCGGAAAAAAGAGAGACAGAGTATTCGTACCCTGATAAGCTTTTCACACGTTATACGATCTTTGAGCAATGCTGACGTTTTGTCTGTCTTGGTTAATCATTTTTCTTCGACTTTAAGGCAGCATCTGATTCAGTACTTTGCCTAACAATGAGGAGAATCGTAAAAATCATGGGGATACCGGAGCACATCGTTTGCATTTTGGGAGAAATATATGTGACAACCATGTCCGTGGTCGAAGGACACCTATCCAATTGGTTTCTTACTAACTGTGCAGTTCGTCTTAAAGATATTTCTTCGCTTTTGCCATTCATCACTCCTCTCTACTTCCTCTTTAGACGCGGTGTTGACATACGGCAAAAATGAGGTCTGATTCTAGAGGTAAGGCGGCGTACTTCAACGTACCCAGTTAAATATCGTGCAGACCTGAAGTACGCAGATGATACTGAGTCGGTGAGTATTACAGAGAGCGGCCATCGTGACTTGACTACTTCTACTCAGATCTGCAGGAAAAAATTGCCGTCAGGTAAGTCTAGTTCTATCGGAAACCTGTCCAATATTTGGGCTAAGAAAAGAACAACCCCTTCCACAAAACTTCCCGGCTTATACACTGCCTTGGGCAACTTCGTTCTTTGCATAGGAGAAAAGCAGCAGTTCTGGCGAAGGATTACGGATGACGGTTCATCTACGTGCAGCGCGTTGACATCGACTTATAATGAGGAATGGCAGCAGGACCAATCAGGGCACGGGCGACCTCCGGAAAGACGCAAATTACAAAAAGAAGATTGACCCCGTCAATCAATTTGTCTGAACACAAATCATTTGCAACCGTCGAGCGTGTCATGTAAACACGGTCGAAGTGGTCAACGAGGTCAGCATGTAACATAGGTCAACAAGGTTGAAACATCTGATTTCGTACATGAACGGTTTCTTCCATAGCGGCATATCCGATGCCTTCAAATCAAGGGCTTTGTACGTTTGCAAACGGTTCAAACAAACCAGCTCTGGTTGGATTTGCTCACCTTCGAGAAAACTATCAACTCTGTCTGCCCATAAACTGTTACGAGAGCTGTGAGCAACCGGGGTATCGAGAAAACGTACAAAACGTAATCATCATAAATTACGAGAATACAACGGTTAGCATGAAGTTACACGAAGACAGCGGCAAATTTTAGGTTTATAATGGCCTCAGAATGTAATGCAATATCACCAAGGGTATGCAATACGTTTCTTCCACATTCAACTGGGAAATTCAGCAGCTAAACATAAATAACCTCGATTAATAAGCTACCTTCACTCTGTCGACGATATTCAAACGTTCCAAATGTTTCCAATCCTAAAGGGAAGAATTCAAGAGATGAGCAATGGCGTCATCAAGAAGGCAAACCTGAAGAAGACAAATGTCAAGTCCAATCGATACCAAACCCCATGCAGTTATAGCAAATAGACTCAAACATGAACGTACTAACTCTAAAAAAGGTGGAAAAAGAGTATACTTTCGTTAAGTACTATTTGGAAGACTGAACATGCCGTTACCTGGGGAAACATTTTGTATATTTGAAGCGGAATATTTTCGATTGGTACCTGGTTGCAATGCATTATGCGTAAGGCGGTGAATGATATTCAAATGCTACCAGCTAGCTACCAGAAAATTAATGAAACTGCTTATTCTGAATTATACAAAGAAATTCGAAAACTGAGCAAATAAGCACACAAACAGGATCGATATCACTGTAAGAGCGAATGAACTGAAACGCTAATGAACTAGGCATGTTTCAAAAAGTACAGATTATTGCTGGATCAAAACAATTGTAGACTGGGTTCAAAGGGGCAGCAGACCGTAAGATGTTTGTCTCGATAACAATTACAAGGCAATAAGCATGGTGGTGCCGGTGAAGTAACTATCGGCAAATCACCGAGAGGCGTTCACACAAGAATAGATCAGAGAAAGCTGATATTGATTTCATTAATGAGTCTTTGTAATATTCGCAATGAGCAAATGAAGGATATAATTTTCGCCGTTCAGGCTTTTGGCCGTCAAAGTTGAAAAACATGGATTATAGCAAGAACGAACAATGTTTTCAGTACGCCAATTAACTTGTAAACGTTTCGAGTGCTAGAAATGAAACATGCCCAAAGATTTAATAACGGCTGATTCAGTGAGCAACAATTTTTTCAGAAATATAGTTTTTTTCCAAATGGCTTGGTTTTACGTCAGCACGGCATAGGACCGAATGACTAAGCCACTGTAGAGCAATCACAGGATGAAATTACGCTGTATGAGCACGCTGAACAACATTTCCTCTTTGTGCACGAAATTACTCATTGCTGTCTTACATCACAGAAATACACAATTCTAGGAAGCTTCGCATGAAGGAGGGCTTGATTAAGGTTGAGCCTCACTTGTCACTAGCGTAAGCCGTTGAGAAGGATACAACTATACACCAATGGCAAAAAGTAAAGTTTATGCGAATGCGTCACGCCGTTCATAAAATATAAACGACAGGCTGGTATGGCATGACTTTACAGACGCATCTTTCTTTCAGATTGATGACGCCATAAAAGTTCAAGCAACAGTTGATCAATGGCTCAGAGACAACTGTAGATAAGAGAGCACCTGATTTTAATTGTCACTTAATAACTACCGCTTGAGAGACATCTGTTTACTATGAATCTAATGGAGAACACTTGAAAACGGGTTGATGAACTCGTAATCTGTGAAGAGGTCAATGCAGGACTGATCTGACGAAAGCCTGGGATTCAGAAGCGCATTAAGTGAATTAGGTACTGAATTTTGAAGTAACGTATAAGTATCATAAGTTGTTCTTGTGGCGGAGTATGTCAAATAACGTATGGCAAGTCCAAGATCTGATTTCATGGTGAATAGCATAGCACCTGCTCATAGGTCTGGTACCTGAGATGCACAAATACCACGGATCCGTGACCTGCTTAAATCGGCCCAGGCAACTATGAGCAGCGGGGTGATTCAACCTAGTCTAGTCTATCATGCGTAATTTGACGTACTCCGGCGTGCGAAATTCTCTTGACGTTTATGCGGCAGCCTACCAGGAGTACCAGCATTTAATCTTGCTAGATCGTGCTGTCTAATCCAAGGTCTGGTCTAATTTATGTCCAAATCCGACACGACAGTGAGTTTGCAAATTAATGGAAGATGAGAATCTATTTTCTTTGAAATGCTCGTCGCCACGCAGGGAATCGGCTTTTGTGACACGATGATGTATGTCCCAGAATCTACCACCAAATCTTGAATTTGCTCGATGGCATCTTTAAAGTTTTCCGATATAAGTTACTTCCAGTGATCAGTGACTGAAGCCAAATAAGCGGCCTGCTCTCACCCTGTGGTCGAAAGCTTCAAAAGCGTTGTATCCAGCAGAAAGCTTTGAGTTAAAAACACGTTTCATCTACAAGCGTTCATTTTCTTCGTCGAGACAAACTTCGTTTATCTGCTGCTGTGCCTGTTATTGGATCAGAAAAGACATGGTTAATCTGGCTAATCGGCCCTTGACCCTGATACCCTAACAGCAACTTTATGGGAATATATGGGCGAAGAAACCTTGCCATTGTACAAGACTGTGGTCAATGGATCCACCTAAAAAGGTGATAACTTTCAAGGTCGAGCGTCATGGCCTCATAAGTTTAGGTGCATGACAAACCTCCAAGGGTACTGTAACATTCCGAGAAAGCACGCTTCACTAAACATCGCTGAGGCATCCAACCCTAGCCACTGGTCGTTACCGCTCGTCATGGTGGAGAAGTAAGATCAGATTCACGAAGAGTTCTGTTTATCATAATCTAGTAGCAGTTATACTTTTATTGATCAGACGTTAATGAAGAATGGTTGAATGAATACTAATCAAGGTTAGATGCTGATTAACGAAAAATAACGAAATTTTATTGTGCTGCCTCCTACACCATACGAACATGAACAACAAGTGATGATACTACATATGGATTTTGTGAAGCGCAAATTCTGAGAAATCAATAATATTTGGACTGACTGACTGACTGACGGACGGACTGACGGACGGACTGATTGACTGACTGACTGGCTGGCTGGCTGACTGACTGACTGACTGGCTGACTGACTGACTGACTGGCTGACTGACTGACTGACTGACTGACTGACT